AGCAGCAGCAGCAGCAGCACTCAAATCAGACTTCAAGTTGGTCTCCTTTAGGGCCTCCATCTAGTCCATATGGAGCAGCTTTTACTGCAGAAAAACCAAATAGCCCAATGATGTACCCCCAAGCCTTTAACAACCAAAACCCTATAGTGCCTCCAATGGCAAACAACCTGCAGAAGACGACAATGAATAACTACCTCCCTCACAATCACATGAATATAATCAATCAGCAGCCAAATAACTTGGGTACAAACTCCTTAAACAAACAGCACAATATTCTTACTTATGGCAACACTAAACCTCTGACCCATTTTAATGCAGACTTGAGTCAGAGAATGACACCACCCATGACCAACCCCAACAAAAACCCCTTGATGCCGTATATCCAGCAGCAGCAGCAACAGCCACAGCAGCAGCCGCAGCAGCCGCAGCAGCCCCCACCACAGCTCCAGGCTCCCAGGACACACCTGAGCGAGGACCAGAAACGCATGCTTCTCATGAAGCAGAAAGGAGTGATGAATCAGCCCATGGCTTACGCTGCACTTTCATCCCACGGTCAGGTAAGTGTGAAAGTGAGACACACTTCGAGCAGTTCTTGTGGTACACTTCAGACTGCCAATGTGTGATGCTCTGCAAGCTCCAGCTGGAGTGGGGTCTAATTACCTGCAGAAATCTCCCTACACATCCTCATGTAGTTGCCAGGCTTGGGGTTTTTCCTCCCCTCTTTAAGAGATGGAAAAGAGTGGCACGATAAACTTTCTTGAATTTGAATGCCTAGGAATCAAACCTTTTTTATTCCCAGCTGCAGATAAGAAACCAAAAATTACATAAAATTCTCACTCTGAGGGAGGCAGCCTGCAGAGGTGACGTGATCAAACATGGTACTACCTCTGTAGCTTCTCTCCCAGGTTGTACAATCCTAGACTCTGGTGGAAGAAAGGTGGGGGCATTGAGGGCTGTTCACCTGCGACCATACTGCATTATGAATAATGGGAAATTTGGATTGTTGATGTTCGAATGTGGGAGAACTTTCTGTATTTTCAAAGTGAAGTGGGGGACAGATTTTCATAGGACCATTCAACGTTTATACACTTGTTGCTGGATCAGCAACAGTTAGAAGCTGGTTCAGTCTTGTTACTGGAAGTATAGTGAAACCTCTCCAATTCATTCAGCTCCATTTTAGGAAAATTTGATGGTGACTACGTCTTAAGTCTTTAGTAAAATCAAATCTCCTCTTTACCACTGTCTTGCCTCCTGATGCCCTGGTTTAGGGGTGTAGGGCTTTCGGTGATGCATGGTAAAGAAAGAGTGGCAGCCGGTTGGAGAGTGAGTACTTATCAATAAGCATTTTGCTGGCCTCAGCCTGACCAGTGGCAAGAGCCAAAGCTCCTTTAAATTAACACTTTATCTACCCTGAAGGAAAAGGGAGTGGCCTTCCCCAGACAGGGATGAATTCATAAGGGATTATTTACTGCCAATTTCTATTCTGTGCCTCAGTCCTTTGGTGATGAAGACATGGGCACATTCTAGTTGCAGATTTTGCAGAAAAGCCTTTGCTTTAGAGGCCCTCATGTCTAAACAGGTTCATAACTAGTACTTGGATATGTGTCCACAATTGGATGCACTAGAAATGCTGGAAAGTATTGCAGGCAGATTTTGCCTCACTTGGTCATTTGCATCTTGCATCTCCTGGAGTGCTCCGCCACCCCTAACCTCTCCACGCTTCATGGAAGCTGTGGGGCTGGTGCTGGCCTGCAGAGACAGGCCTGAGCTCTGTGGCTTCAGTCTTGTCCTTCACAGCCTTCCAACCCCAAAACCTCACTGTGGCTTCTTGTCTGCACATGCCGGCCAGCTCAACAGAAATTCTGTCTGGATAAATAAAAGTATAGCTTGGTTTACATCAAGTGTAATCAGCAGCTGGTAGAAAAACATCATTTAAATGTGAAATTTTATATTTTATCTTGGTTTCGTTTTTTAAAATCCCATTGGAAAATGCAACGTTTCATATAGTTCAAGATTAAGTTCTGAAGCAGACAAAAATATAGGCAATATACAGGGGTGTTTGTGGAAGTCCAGATGCGTCAGGAGGTTTATGAGATCACACGCTGTCAGAACGGTCTGTTGTTCATCTTAATATGAATTGTGCTTCTGCATTCACTGTTTTTACGCCAGCTACAGTAAAGTATTTCCTCCGAGCCAGACCAAGGATGATTAATTCTAGCTCACTGCAGGCCTGTGGGTGTGAGGATGCACCCACCCTCACTAAACATCTTTTGAAATGTGCTGACTTGGGATAAAGTTCCTGTCTTTGCTGGAACATGAATTTTAAAGGTACTTATTTCAGGTCCTTCTGCTTGCCTAACTATGAGTCATTGAAGCTGTTAGCTGCAGAGGTCATGTTTTGAAAGGGCTCAGTCAGGTGAAGAAGCAAAAGTGATGGTTTTCTGGATTCAGTCTGTGTGCTCCTCCTCTCTTCCTCTCCTCTCACAAGGTACTTTCAGGGTGGACAGAATCTTCCTTTTGAGGCCTCATTAGAATAATCACTTCTTAACCTCATAAAGAGCTGTCATGTAAAGGCATGCTTTTTAATAAAATATTAACTCACCTTTGTTTGAAACAAGCCTAAAAATACATATATAAACATGTGGATATCTTTCTGCAAACATACCATTTTATGTTTTTATCTGATTGTGGAGCAGTATTTGCATAGCTGTCAGAATAGTTAATTACACTATATGCGGGTACACTGCACAGATATGCACGAATTACAGGTGAGATATAAAATAGTTCAATTTTGTTTTCTGCTGTTGCTAGTGAAGTTCACTCTATTCTTTGTTGGCCACAAGGACGATGATCAACATTTAGTTTTAATGAATGACTTGAGCACCAAAGCCAACAGTAAGAGAATATTAGACACGTTTATTTCAGGAAAATCATCTTATACATGTTTACTTATTTGGGACACTTGTAGAAAATGCCATTTCTCTCAGAAATAAAGAGAAATGCACTTGCTTCCTGGATATTTCAAAAAAGAGAGAACCAAAAATAGAAACAAACAAAAAAAACAACATTTCAAAATTCTGAATGTATTTTATCTAGTAACTCTACGTCTCAGAATTTACATATTATACCTCATAATCAGAGAATTAAACAAAGATTATGCTCATGGTGTTACTTATGATAGCAAAAAATTGGACCTAAAAAAAGTATTTTGGAAAAATGAATAATGTACATGAAACTCATTAATGAATGATTAATCACATGGAAATGCTCATAATATGAGTAAAATAAGCAGATCATAAAACAGTTTATATGTTACAATCCAAGTTGTGTTTTTTAATGTGTATGGAAAAATACTGAATAACTAAAATGTTGGGAATGGTATTTCTGGCTGAAAAAATTCAGTGGTTATTGTTTTCCTCTTATACTTTGCTGAATTTTCTAAATTTCCTGTCATACATATGTATTATTTCTACAATCAGGAAAAATACTTTTTTAAGGAAGGAAACCCCTATTTTAAAAAAAAGTTTATACTTGGCTAATTATTTTTTAAAACATTCTTAGTTGAATTGCCTTGCCAGTTGGATTGAGGTAATACTGTTATTTTCTGTTAAATAACATATATTAGTTGTGAATCGCTTGCTTTAGTAGATAGTTCTAAAACCTCTCTCCCACATTGACTGCTTTTCTCTCTCTCTCTGCATCCCCTTTTCATTCCTCCTCATCTTCTAATTCCTGTAAAACTCTAGCTCAGATTATGACAATGAAAGTATCAATAACAGTTCCACCATTTTAAGTTTTCAGATGTTCTCTGGGATATGTCCTTGTATTGTTTGTTTGATCATTTCTTCCTTCCCTTTTTTACTTTCTGGAACTTATGTTCATCACAAATTGGACCTCTTGGATTGCTGTCTAGTTTTTAAAATACGTGTTTTTGTGATAAAATAACTTACCTTACTTTGGTCATGTCTATTATCTTTTCCTAATCTCGCTGTTTATCAAGGGCAGGATATATCTCTCTCTCGCGCCCACACGCTCACTCTCTCTCCTTTTAGCTGATTTTTGCATAGTACCTAACACTGCGTCTTAAACATGAGGATNCTCTCTCTCCTTTTAGCTGATTTTTGCATAGTACCTAACACTGCGTCTTAAACATGAGGATGTTTAATAAATCATTTGATGGTGATTATCAAAGTTTGGGCCAAAAATATGTTTACAGTTGATTATCAGCTCCAATGGAGAAAGCGTTAGCACAATAACACAGAGCTGTTAGCAAAAGCACAGAGCTGCTTTTAAGATCAAATAGGTGAACTGAAAAGGCAAGTCTACAAAAAAACGCTTGGAGGGGAGGTGGTTATCTTGAACCAGTGGAGCAACAGTAGGATTGCCAGGAAGGCAAACTCCATCCCTGTGTCTGACAAACAAAAAACAATAGAGCGACTGTGAGAGAAGTAAACCAAAAGCAAACGGCGGCTTGCTGGTCAAGGAAGGTCACAGGCCTGCCCAGAGCCCAAGAATAATTCCTGTGTGGAAGAGTGGAAAGTGAATAATTTCCAAAATGTGATATTAATCTTTAATATTTAGGACTAGATAAATTATAGACTACTAATGCTGCTTTATTCTTTACGTGTGTATTTTCTGTGTGGCTGTGCGTATCGTAATGAGTACATATATGCTTATATTTTACAGAATGTTTTCCCCTTCCAATTTCATTT